TTTTGTCCTCATGGAGTTTGGGGTTTGGCACATTGAAGTGTTATGGTTCCCCAGCCTGGAAGCTCTTTGAACCCCCTCTTTTTGGGTTTTTATGAAGGCAGATTATATAGGCCTGACTCATCGACTCATTGGCCTCTGATGACTGAGTCAACTTCCAGCCCCTCTCCCCTTCCAGGAAATCAGGGGGTGGGAGTGAAAGTATACCCCTCTCTTCATGGTTGTTCCTCTGGCAACCAGTGCCCACCCTTAGGTGCTTTCCAACAGTTATCCCATTATTATAAACCCAGTTGTGGGAAGAGGCTTGTTATGAATAACAAGACACCATTTCACTTTTAGGGCTCCGGAACATTTTCAGGAACTAAGGACAAGAGACCAAATATTATAATGAAAGATGCTCCCATGCTCTTACAGCTCAGGAAATTCCAAGGCACTGGGGAGCTCTTAGCCTTACTTTGGACCATCTATATTTCTTATAAATCACAAATCACACACGTACTCTAACATTCAAAGTGCTTGTGTTCAAGGAAATGCTCACAAACATTCAGAGATAATGTAGTGTGACGAGTGGTAAAGAAAAGGAACTCTGGTACCAGCCTGCTTGAGTTTGAGTTCTGGCTCCACCATCTATTAGCTGAATTACTTTGGGCAAGTTATTTGACCTCTGTGCTTCAGTTGATTTATGAAATGGGGAAAATAATAACATCGACTTCCTAGATATTAGGATTAAATGGGTTCATGTATATAAACCACTGAGAACAATACCTGCCATAGACGAGCAAAAGACGATCTCCATATCCTTGAGTGAAATTTGCAAAGGGGTATTATTCCAAGTCCTTTACCACATATGAACCACATACAACTTTTAAAACAATCGTAGGTGGTGGGCATTCCCTATTTATAGATGAAGAAAGTGAGGCCAAAACACACAATGTGACCAAAGTCTTAAAAGCCTGTCCATGGCAGTGTCAGAATTTGAACCCAGGAAGTATGACTCAGAATGTTCTTCATACTTACCAATAGCAAGTGTCACAGAATGATTTAAGACCATGTCTTTTTGTTGTGAAGGAAAAGAAAGCCTGCTTTTAAGCTAGGCCATCTGGAGGGTGGATACTGGACATCTGAAATGAGTCATTGAGTTAAGTACCCCCCCAAAAAACCCCTAAAATTAGGAGTTTCGTCCATAATTCTCACCTCTAAAGGTCCTTGGTATCAATCTCTTAACCAAGATTTTTTTAAAAGCTTATTATTATTTTTTTAATCCAAAGAGATTCATCAAAGTGATTTCAAGGATAAATAGTTTATAGAATGAAGTTTTTCTTTGTTTTATTAATCTTTTTCAAGTAACTACTTCAGTGTCAAAATATTCTTAAGAGTGGGGGGATAAGGAACTTGTAGCTGGCAGAACCACAAAGCGATAGTTCATTTTGACCACTCCTCAGATGGTGCGTGTGTGTGCTTTGGCATTTTCAATGACCTTTTGAAGAAGGGCTGATCCTGGGAATGGCAATGGTTTCTCCTGATTCTAGGCAGCACTATGAGGGAATCAAGCTGTTTTTTACAGGGTTCTTTTATTCTCAGTATTTTCTGCATGAACAATTAAAAGGACATTGAGCCCAGCCGGCATGGCTCAGTGGTTGAGCGTCAACAGGGCACATGCCTGGGTTGTGGGTTTGATCCCCGATGTGGGGCTTACAGGAGGAGCTGATCAATAATTCAATGATTATCTTTCATCATTGATGCTTCTGTCTCTCTCTCTCCCTTCCTCTGATCAATAAAAATACTTAAAAAAGTAAAAGGACATTGAGTTGTTATCTGTTTCTGGTGATTTGGCTAGTCATCTTGGGGAATTTGCTGCTTTGTGAACACTTGTCCAGCTCTGTCCAGTTTGCCCTTAATTTATAGGGAATCAGAACAAAAAGACACTGTGTGCTTGTCTGCAGCCTTTCTTTGGAATTCTACTTGAAAGATTGGAGCAGCCATGTGTTGTATCCAAATGTGCTAGCATTAGCACTTAATAATATTGCTTTTCTTCCAAGCAAACTGACCTGGGCAGGTGAAGGTCATGTTTCCTGGAATGGGCTTCTATCTCCTGACCCACATTGTATTACTGTTTGCTTTTGAGAAGGTCTTCATTCAGATGTAGATATATTATTAAATCCATTTTGCTCTGGCTGTTGACCTTTCCAGGTTTTCATGGTAAGGATTGAGAGATGTGGTGGAAGTTTGATTTTGGAATCAGATTGAGGACATACCTATCCTGCCTGAGAAGAGCCAAGGCTGCCAAAAATAGTTGGAAAACCATGTTGCCCAATCCCGAGTCCAGTTGTCATAATCCCTCTACAGTAGCCATTCCTAGGCAGTGTTTGAGTCTCCATTCAGACATTTCCTTAGGCAACTTTTTGGAACCACTTGAAATTCCCACTACTAATCCTAATTCTAAATCCTAGGCTTTGAATAAAATAAAGCCTTTCCCACGTATCGAGTATCAGGCCATGGGTAAATTGTTATCATGTCCTTCTCTGGGTCTTCTCTTTTCCAAAGAAGCCGCTACCTACTCTTTCCTCATGGGATGTCTGGCGCCATTTCACATCTTGGTCTCTCACCTTGGAAGCTGTGTACTTGTTTATATCTACCTTAAGGTTTGTTAAATGGGCCTAAGAATAGGGCTCTGGGGCTGGCTGGCCTGCCTATTGCAGAGTAGGACAGCCCCAAACTTGTCAGTTACTCCAAGCCTACTATGAAAGTGATTTTTCAGATACAGAACATACCCTACAGGTATTACCTACAGGTATTACTCAAGAGAACTGAAAGCATATGTTCAGACCAGGACTTCTGCACGAATGTTCATTGCCACATTATTCACCATAGCCCTGAAGTGGAAACAAACAACTCAAATGTTCCTCAATGAACAAATAGCTAAACAAAATATGTTCTATCAGTACAACGGAAGAATAGTATTCGGCCGTAAAAATGAACAAAGTACTGAGATATGCTACACCAGGGGTCCTCAAACTTTTTAAATAGGGGGCCAGTTCACTGTCCCTCAGACTGTTGGAGGGCTGGACTATAGTTTAAAAAAAACACTATGAACAAATTCCTATGCACACTGCATATATCTTATTTTGAAGTAAAAAAACAAAACGGGAACAAATACAATATTTGTATTTGCATGTGGCCTGCAGGCCGTAGTTTGAGGACTCCAGTGCTACACCATGAGTGAACCTTGAAATCATTCTGCTAAGTGAAAGAAACCAGACACAAAGTACCACATGTTGTGTGATTCTGTTTATGAGATGTTGCAGAATAGGCCAATCTTTACAGACAGAATGCCAGTTTGTAGTTGCTGCATGCTAGTGGGAGGAAGAGATGGGGAGTGACTGCTGATGGGTGCAGGGGTTCTTTCTGGGGTTGATTCAATGTTCTGGAATTAGGTAGTGGTGATGATTGCACAATACTGAGAATGTATTGAACACCACTGAGTTGTACGTTATAAAATGGTGAATTTTGTGTTGTGGTATGTCTCAAAAAGCTGTCATAAAAAAACGGCTGTTACCTCCTAGGTGAAGGTGAGGATATATGAGGACGAAATGAAATGACACATATAATACTTAAAGGAACATAGTATGCATTCAGTTAAAGGAGCATAGGATGTATTAAGTTAATGATCGCTAGTGTTGCTCTTAAGGAAATTAACACTGCTTAAATATCAGTACTTTTCTTTACTGCAACCTCTCTAGAATATTACCTGTTATGTAGTACGCAATCAGTCAGTATTTTCCCATTCATGTTCAGCCACATTCAGGAATGTGCTTGTCTTTAGCGTTCTGCTTCTTCAGGGAGTTATTGAATACGCGTCTCCTGGGGCCTAACTGAGCTACTTTGGTCCAGTAGGAGTGATGGAGTGATACGGAGCTCTTCACAGCTCATGTTGCAGTGTGGAAGTTGGGAGTTAGGAGTAGACTCAGCCTTGAGAAGGAAAGGCTCTACCTGGGAGTTAGGAGTAGACTCAGCCTTGAGAAGGAAAGGCTCTACCTTAAATTCAAGGTGAAGGTGGGGGGAAATGATTCTTGAGCTCCCATCCCCCCCTTGCCCCCAGTAATATAAAGCTGCTTTATGTTTCTATAAGAACTTCATTGGCTTGTGGAGGATGTGACTCCTCATGGTTCACTAACAGTTCCCTGGAGAGCAGATGACTTCATCTTGGTTAAATAAAAACTCAGTGCATAGACATTTAAACAATTTAAACTGATCATTTGTTCTGCTGAATCCAACTCACAACTTCTACAAGTAAGGAATTGTTATTTTAAATTAAGATAGAAGCATTTTTTCTTGAAAAATAATTAAAAATTTTTCATTCTTTTATGAACTTGGCATTCCACTGATGACACTGAGTTAGTTTCTTTCACAGTTATGTCAGCAAGGTGCTGTTTGCTTATCCGGGGCCCCAGAGAAGATATAGACCTGTTGTGTGTACTACCCAGCATTCTTTCTAGAAGAACAGTGGAAATGTTTTTTTTGTTTTTGTTTTTTTGGTTTTTTTTTGGTCGCTAAGGAATGGTTGTGCTTCGCAGCTTCCTTCAATCTTCTGTACACTGTGTGCTGTGTGGTTGATCACGTTTCCTTGTTACCATAACTTGTTGGGAGGCTCAGGATCCAGTTTTTGGCTCACCTTCAGGGAGTCGCCAGGACTCCTTTCTGGCCTTTTGTGTACCACCCTCTTTCCAGGCTCCAACTTTGTTTCCTACTCTTATTTTCACGTTATGTCTAATATATATTCTTTTATTTTTATTTCATCAAGAGGTGCTTTTATAATTCTTTGGGAGACAAGAGGGAGACAGTGCCACCATTACTGAAGCAATATTTAAAACTTAACTCTAACCCCACCCCCCATATGAACCAGGAGGAATGGGAGAGAAGGCAAAACTGTCCAAAAAGCGTTTGTAAGGTTTTTATTTTTGAAGCTTTTTCTGAGAATCTCTTTTCTCCTGCCTTTTTCACAGAAGTTGGTGATGTGGCAAAGCAGTACATAGAGAAAGGCCGTTTGGTTCCAGACCATGTGATCACACGCATGATGCTGTCGGAGCTGGAGAACCGACAGGATCAGCACTGGCTGCTAGACGGTGAGTGGGACCCGTGGGTGAGCTGGGTTTCTGGGAGTAGCTTGTTCCTAATAGAATTCTGTTATTGTTCCAGTTTGATGATGCCTTTTCTTTCCATGATGAAGTTGTCATAAGTATACCTGAAACCAGAGGTTCTTTCATTCATAATAGGCCACAAAAATTTAAGCCAGGAGTTACCATTTTTCACTTGTCAGATTAACAAAGATAGAAAATTTGAAAATCTCTTATTGCGTATGTGGGAAATAAGTGTTGAGTATACAATGCACAACCTTTGGAGGACAGTTTAACAGTCTTTATACTTTTTGTTTCAGCAAAGAACTGAAACAAAAAACTGATTTCTTGCCTAAAGATATAGCTTCAAGGATGTTCATTTTCAGCATTATTTATAAAGAGCAAGACATTGGTAACCATCTAAGTATCATAGCGATGTCTTAAATTTGGTATGTACCTATGTTATAATATGAATAGATCTCAATGTAAACTGCCAAGTGAACAAAGCTAGTTGTAGTATAGCGTATATTGCGTATTATTTATGCAAAAATAGAGGGATGGCATGATATCCTATCTAATAAAAGAGAAACATGGTAATTAGCGTACATCCGCTACCCTTCCCATTGGCTAATCAGGGTGATATGCAAATTAACTGCCAGCCAAGATGGCGGCTGGCAGCCAGGCAGCTTGAAACTAACATGAGGCTTGCTTGCTTCGGTGACGGAGGACTCCAACGGTCCCCGCCTGCCTTGCAGGCCTCTGAGCCTGCAGTTTGAAACATTGTAACAAATATAGAAGCTAAAAAAAACCCCAGAAACCAGCTTTCAGCCAGCCGGGATCTAAGAGCTGGAGTCAGAGCTGTAGTTATACATTGTTGCAATTATAGAACCGAAACAAACCAGAAA